GTGGGAAGGTTGAGTCCAAATTATCTGTAGGTTTCCCAAAGTTTTACTTACGTGAAAGTGAAGTGTTCTTTCATAGTGGGTGATCATTTTTTGGCTTTGGAGAGGCTGCACAGTCTTTCCATATTTACTAAATGTTCTGTAAAGTTCTTTGCTTTATGTACTACATTTTCTTAAGTGCCATTTGTTGACCAAATTGTTTTTGTGACTTTGGTGGCTGAATAACAGATGTTGACAGTAGGATAATAATAGTTTCTTTTGAGGCTGCTGTTGGCCACAGACTAGTGTTAATTAGATCTTACATATGTCTTAGTATGATAATTCCCACTTGGACTTTAAATCCATGAACAGTTAATGAGGTGCCATGTGCTATGTTTTCCCAGGTATCTCATTTAATTCCTACGCATCTATGAATCTTCAGGTTTTCTTTTTTCTTCTCTTTTTATTAAAATGATAGAAATAATNAAAAAGAGGGCAGGGTTTGTGTTTCCTCTGAACAAACATAACTTGATGAAAATATTGATGACTAAAGTTACTGCAACCAATTTGAATTCCTGTTATGACCAAATAGTTTGTATTCTGATTTTTATTTACCATCATATCATGAATATATCTTATGTTATTAAATATTCTTTAAAAACCTGATTTTAATGGCTGTAGAGCAGTACTATCCAATAGAAGCTTCTATGAGAATGGGATTGATCTATACCCTCACTATGCAATACAGTAGTCACTAGTCACATATAACTACTGGGCACTTGAAATGCAGCTAATGCACCTGAGGAAATGAATTTTAAGTTTTATTTAATTTTAATAAATTTGAATTTGGATAACCATGTGTGGCTAGGGTTACCATCTGGGACAGTGCAGCTGTAGAACATTTACTCATCCCACTACTCATGAGAGACTTTTAAGTTATTTCCCTTTTTTTGCTATTATAAACACTGCTAAGGGTCAAATGTGTCCCCCAAAAGTGCAGGTACTGGAAGCTTGATCCCCACTGTAATGGTGTTAAGAGGGTGGGAAATCAGACTATGACAGTGTTGAAAGGTGAGGCCTTTAAGAGGTGATTAGTTTGACTTCAAGAGGTGAGGTGTCTGCCCACATGAATGAATTAATCCATTCATGGATTAAGGGGTTAATGGCTTCGTGGGTTGTCATGAAAGGGGCACTCAGGGCTTTATACGGAGAGCAAATGAGCACGTTAAGAAGCTTCAGCCCTTCTCACCATGTGATATACCCTAGTCACCTTGGGATTCTGCAGAGGCTCTGCAGGCCCTCACCAGAGGCAGACCATGGACTGTGAAATTCCCAGCCTCCAAAACTGCTAGAAATAAATTTTGCTTCTTTATATGTTGCCAAGTTTCAGGCATTCTGTTATAGGCGACAGAAAACTGACTAATACAAACCCCACTGGGGTGACTGCCTTCATGTGGAAAGNGAGCGCCGCAGCGCTTCCCAAGCGGCGCACTTATCCAGTGCGCCACCGGGCCGGCCCAAGAGGTGATTAGTTTGACTTCAAGAGGTGAGGCATCTGCCCACATGAATGAATTAATCCATTCATGGATTAAGGGGTTAATGGCTTCGTAGGTTGTCATGGAAGGGGCACTCAGGGCTTTATAAGGAGAGCAAATGAGCACGTTAAGAAGCTTCAGCCCTTCTCGCCATGTGATATACCCTGGTCACCTCGGGATTCTGCAGAGGCTCTGCAGGCCCTCACCAGAGACAGACCATGGACTGTGAACTTCCCAGCCTCCAAAACTGCTAGAAATAAATTTTGCTTCTTTATACGTTGCCAAGT